GCAGTCGTTCGCCATATTATTCAAAATACACCCCATCAGGTACTCAATGTCGATAAACTCACCTATGCAGGTAATTTAGAATCGTTGGCATTGGTTGAAAATAATGAGCGTTATCAATTTTCCCAAACTGATATTTGTGATCGCATTGCATTAGATCAATTATTTGAAAGTTTTCAACCAGATGCTGTGATGCATTTGGCTGCTGAATCGCATGTTGACCGTTCAATTACAGGCCCTGCTGCATTTGTTGAAACCAATATTATTGGAACATATCAGTTGTTGGAGGCTGCTCGTCATTATTGGAGCGATTTAAACGAAGATAAAAAGCAAGCTTTTCGTTTCCACCATATTTCAACAGATGAGGTTTATGGTGACTTAGAAGGTACAGATGACTTGTTCCTTGAAACAACACCGTATGCTCCAAGTTCACCATATTCAGCAAGTAAGGCTAGTTCAGATCATTTGGTTCGTGCATGGCATCGAACCTATGGTTTACCTGTCGTTTTAACCAATTGCTCAAACAACTATGGTCCTTATCATTTCCCAGAAAAGCTGATCCCATTAATTATTTTGAATGCCCTCAATGGCAAAGCATTACCTGTATATGGCAATGGACACCAAATTCGTGATTGGCTATTCGTAGAAGATCATGCACGTGCTTTATATAAAGTGGTCACTGAGGCTGCTGTTGGTGAAACTTATAATATTGGCGGTCATAACGAACAAAAGAATATTGATGTTGTTAAAGCAATTTGCACACTGTTAGAAGAACTTGCACCAAATAAACCAAATGGTGTGACTCGTTATGAAGACTTGATTACTTATGTGACAGATCGACCTGGTCACGATTTACGCTATGCAATTGATGCAAGCAAAATTCAAAAAGACCTTGGTTGGGTGCCTGAAGAAAGTTTTGAAACGGGTTTAAGAAAAACCGTTGAGTGGTATTTGAATAACCAAGCGTGGGTTCAACATATTCAAAGTGGTGAATATCAAAATTGGATCAATCAACAGTATCAGGTTGCAGAAGAAACAAATTAAGTTGCGTAATACTATGAAAATACTGTTGTTAGGAAAAAATGGCCAAGTGGGGTGGGAGTTACAGCGTGCACTCCAACCACTTGGAGAGGTGATTGCTTTAGATCGTCAAGCAAACCCTGAGGGTTGGTGTGGTGATGTTGCAAATTTTGCAGAAATCTCAAAAGCCTTTGCACAAATTTGCCCAGATATTGTTGTGAATGCAACCGCTTATACCGCTGTAGATAAGGCCGAATCTGATACTGAACAGGCACATCTTATCAATTGTTTAGCCGTTAAACACTTGGCTGAGGAGTGTCAAAAGCATAGTGCATTGTTGATTCATTATTCAACAGACTATGTGTTTGATGGTACAGGTGTTGCGGCGTGGAAAGAAGATGACCAAACTGCCCCAGTTAATTTGTATGGTCAAACTAAACGAGACGGTGAGCTTGCTTTAGAGCAAAGCGGAGTTTCATTTCTAAATTTCCGTACCTGTTGGGTCTATGCGGCGCGAGGAAATAATTTCATTAAGACCATGCTCAAATTGGCGCAAATGAAAGAAGAGCTGAATATCATCCAAGATCAAGTTGGTGTACCTACTGGGGCAGCACTGATTGCAGATGTCACGGCTCAAGCTATTCGCTATTATACTTTACAGTCTGATGAACAAAAAATACTGCTGCAAGGTCATTACCATTTGGCCCCTAAAGGTGAAACAACATGGTATGACTATGCACAATTTGTGTTTGCGCAGGCACGTGAACATCATCAACCGCTGATCTTAAAACAAGTGAATCCAATAGAAACACAAGCTTACCCAACACCAGCAAAGCGTCCTTTAAATTCACGTTTAAATACAGATAAGTTACAACAAAATTTTAAATTACACCTGCCACATTGGCAGCAAGGTGTAGCACAAGTATTAGAGGAACTTCTTCCATGAGTCAAATAAAACGCAAAGGTATTATTCTTGCGGGTGGGTCAGGTACACGTTTGTATCCAATTACTATGGGAACGTCAAAACAGTTACTCCCAATTTATGATAAGCCTATGATTTATTATCCTTTGTCAGTTCTAATGCTGGCAGGGATTAATGAAGTTTTGATTATTTCGACACCAGAAGATTTACCTAATTTTGAAAAACTTTTAGGTACAGGTGAAGAGCTCGGAATTAAACTTTCTTATAAAGTCCAACCTTCACCAGATGGTCTTGCTCAAGCCTTTATTTTAGGGGAAGAGTTTATTGGTGAGGATAATGTTTGTCTGATTTTGGGCGATAACATTTTCTATGGTCAGCACTTTAGTGATCAACTCAAACGTGCTGCGTCACAAGTTAGTGGTGCAACAGTCTTTGGTTATTATGTAAATGATCCTGAACGTTTTGGTGTGGTTGACTTTGATGCGGAAGGAAAGGCACTCAGTATTGAAGAAAAGCCTGAACAACCAAAATCAAACTACGCGGTAACGGGATTATATTTCTATGACAATAAAGTGGTTGAAGTTGCTAAAAATATTCAGCCATCGCACCGTGGTGAACTAGAAATTACCGATGTAAATAATGTTTATTTACAGCAAAATGAGTTGAATGTTGAGGTACTTGGTCGTGGTTTTGCATGGTTAGATACAGGCACGCATGACTCATTGCTAGAAGCAAGCCAGTTTGTACAAACCATTGAACACCGCCAAGGTTTGAAAGTAGCGAGTTTGGAAGAAATTTCTTTCAATAATGGATGGATCAATGCCGATCAGCTCAAAGCACGTGGTGAGTTCTTTAAAAAGACTGGCTATGGTCAGTACTTGCTGA